CTGGGGCTTCGAACGGTAATGTCACGAGCGCTGGGACGTCACAAACCCTACCTAATTGCTACGCTCTTGTTATGCTGAATGAGGCTTCCACCATGCTAATCCGCCTCATATCCCCAACCACTTGCCCAACTAGTTGCGACTCAACTGATGTTCAGCCCCAAACCTGTATGTTACATCACATGAATCATTGGCCTGCGTGTATGACCCAACAAGCGGCCTCCTCGGATACTAATGGGAATACCAGTTTGTGTCATCAGACTCCAGCCAGACATTGGTCTGATTATTTGTACGCCCACTTGCTATGGACCTCTGGCTACATGCCACACAACGTAGCCCGCCATATTCGTCCCGTATTTCTGTATCGCACAGTACGTCGTTGTATGAATGCTTTGACGCGTGCGGCATATCGACGACGACAACAAGAACTAGTTGATACGGGAGACACACAGCCCGAAGAGGTAAGCACTTTTAACAAGAGATTCGGTTGTCATAGTTTTAGTTGATTAGCGCAGTTCACGGGGTTGAACAGGTTGTTTGCAAACATTTTTTTATTAACCACCAATTTATCTTGACATGACACGGGACTAACCATAATGCTAAGTCCTCTACAGTTGAGCTGCCCAGCTCAGTGAAGGATAACACTACCAGTGTTATTTACGATAATCTTTTTGGAATGCGTGTAATAGTTCATTTTAACTCAATCATCTTTGACCTCCCTGACGAATAATCGTCATGCCTATGATCAAACTCAATCCGATTATCTGTTTAATAGAAATATAAGTCTAGGTTTTTTTGCACAGATTCGGACCGTTCTTCGTAATAATACTGTTTTCGCCTTGTCCTTCATAGCTCCTGATGAAGACGAGTCAAGTAATCGCAGCGTCGGCTATTCACTCAGCTGATGAAGCATCCGACGCGGACGAGAGACAAGAAACCGGTTCCGTTTGCTGCTCTAAAAATGGAAATGACGCGACAAACTTCCAGCAAGACGTTTGGGAGTTTATGTGTCATGTCTTCAAAAGTGATCTTACCCGGAGAGAGGTATGCACTGCTTATTTACTGGTTATTTTTATATCTTAGAGTTAAAGTTGTTCAATTCTCATTGTCCCTTCATGTTGTATTTCCCATTCGGTTTTTGCAGCTGTTCCGTGACACATATTCCAGCGATTGTATGCAATCAACTGATCGTTTGACATCAAAAAACAATCCGCGAGCACATAAAATCAACTGGTCCGTCGGTTCCTACGGAATATTTGTTCGCAGAAAGCCTAAGGTTAGTGGTTCAATGGTACAATAGTAATCGTTTTATTCACCGTTCATAATCTTTTCGTATTTCACCTGACAGAAATAGATATGGAACTAAGTAAATATAGCTGATTTCTTTCCTATCGCGTTTAATTTCAATGGATCAAGCATTCGCTGTCGTTTTTCGCCATTAGCATTTTCAACTTAGATGACGAGGTTCTCTTTGTATTCGTCGCCTGTGTCTAACTATATCAACATCCGAGCAAATCTGCACCAACCCGAAGACATCAATAACTTCAACACCTATGTATCAAAGCGTATGTACCGGCGTATGTCATGATAGGACGAATAGCGTAACTTACCAACTTTTTGGTTACTCATCGTCACTGATGTGTGATTTAGATTAATCGGCGATAAATTTAGATAGTGGATTAGTGCAGCACGATGGCTGAACCAGTAGGTGATGTGGTTATTAACGCAAAATCACGTGGATTCATCATGGATTAGTAAATGAAATACATTGACTGATTCGTTATCACATGCTTGTGGTGCCTGTCTCTTCTCGTTGTAAGGAGAAAACACGCAGGTGCGACACACGGAGGTAACTGAGTGCATTATTTTTGTGAACCGAAGTTAGTCTAATTGTCTTTTTTCGAGTGACATGTAAGTAAGATCCACGTTCAGAATCGCTGGATTTTCCGACTCAGTTTTGGCCGTCCACTGGCGGCCCTGATTTCCTCTGGATCTCCGTCATATAATCCGATTGTCCCGAACGGCAGTTTAAATTTCAACTATACCTGAGATAGTTTGTTGTCCAATGAGAGTAGCAATTCAGCATTCTTAGTGGTAAGGTTCTATTTTCTGTTGTGGGATGCTTTGGACATAGTCACTATCTTTGACCGATTGACCTTGATTGATTTGCGCTATCAAGCTCATCAATCTCTTCACGCGTCCCGATGGCCACTTCCGATACACTGGCCCCCTTTTTGGGCGTTTCTTTACTTGACCCAATTTCAACAAAGAACACAACATTGCAAGCGAGCGATTGTCACGACCTGTGATATATAAACCTTTTTCTGCAGTAAGCACTAGTTGAGATTCAGCCAAATGATTCTGGAATTAAATCAAAGTGCTCACTTGCAGTGTTGTAATCTTTGTTCAAGTTCATTTCGGGAAACTTGCTCCAATTTACTTCTTTTGAGAGGACGGCAGTTGGTTGGTGCATATATAGAGATAATGAACGAACATGTTTTCGTGTTGCTTCCTTTCCAAACACTAGCTGGATCCTGTAGCGTCATTGTACACAAATGATTTAACGGGGATTCAATTGATCAGCGAGGTCCCAGCTTTAGTGTCGTAGTACGATTCCTACACTTTGCTGAACCTAAGAGCGGGCTTCATCTCCTGATGTTCAAAGAAAGTACTTTGAAGAGAGATCCGATCCACTTGGATGGCTTATACTACTATAATCCTGAATTAATATCTCGTATACGCGACTGGCATGAATTTCTAAAGAATCCATTGAACACGCATCTGCGAGCCACGCTTGTTGATCCACCTGAATCAGAGTTCTCGCGTTGAAGGCCCCATATTCAAGATTTGACGAGGCTTTAGAATATTTAGTGATGAGTTTCCTTCAATGCTATTTGTTAACGAGCTTTGGCGCGTGGCAAACACTTCTAATGGAATATCACGGGTCGGGAAGAGCGGCAAACAGAAAGGATTGGTTATGGAAGACGAAGTTAAACAATGCTTGGGATGTCTGAGCAGTAGCCCAATCAGCCTGCATCTGTCTGGTTTTGTTAGATTTTTTACAGAACAATACTCGTTACAATTTCACCTCCATTCCGTCTTTCAACATTCCATAATCTCTTCCATGGTCTTGCTATTTCTTGTAAACTACGGCCCATCTAGCAGAAGTTCAGTTCAGTTCTTACAACCATGCACTTTCGTTCGCCGGTTCTGATTGCCCATTTGGATAAAACAGCAGAATGATGACTAGACTATTGAGAGCAGATTCAAGCGGGAGGTAACGCATTTATGTAGACTGAGGTTGCAAGAATAATGAGTAGATGCATGAACACCACTGTTTGCGACACCCAACCTATCGCTCTGTCTCTAACCATCGGTGACCATGATCTCGGGGCCTCCAACGAGACCTATTGTGAGCCAGTCTCCCGTTCAGGGTTTTCATACCCTCATTCCAGGTCTTGGTTTGACCGCCTTTGATCTTTTCCAACCGCCACCTGCATCGGCAAACATCGCTCGCCGTTTGCAACCTATCTGGTGACACGCGTAACACATTCCCCAAGCAACGTAATCTATGGAAGTCGACCACTTGCTCCAGTGAGCGACCGCAATTGCCTAAAACTCTGCGCCTAACCTCAGCATTGCCCGTTCGGCTGCCCCACCGGACTTGTGCAATGCTGCTTGGACAGCGGGGTTTGAACACCGACAATGTATTTTTATCCTGTTCCCAAGTATCTGCACCGTAAAGCAAATACCAACCAAGCCTTCTGTACAACTTCCCTGGTCAGGATGAGGCTGGGGACTGGGCCAATCCAATCTTGGAGCAGCATTTTACACTTTGAAGGTGCATCACGCATACCGAACATAGCTACACTGGCATTCAGGGTTTGCAGAAAAGCTTGCAACTTACCTGAATTATCACTCAGTTTCACAACCCGACTTTGGTGGTAAGCGGCTCTGCTGTCGTCCGATTCAATACCACGCCTAATCTATCGGGGCCTTGTGTTTCACCACTCCAAGTCCCGGGGCTTAGGTTACCGCGTTCCATCACTGAACAGCAGATCCTCGTGACTATGGGGTTTACCCCATCTGCTGTTCATCACACCTAGGAGTGTAATTTAAAAAATATCGCGTCGTTAATTTCCATTGATCTCCCCTCGGCAATCGGTTGAAACAACCCAGGAAATTTCGCCGCTCTTAACCGGGAAAAACGCAACACACGCTTTTTGTAAACCACAAAACCATCCATACTCAGGTGATTGCTTGCACTGGTACTCATGTTTCTGAAGTCGTTCAATAACCTATAGTTAGGAATGAGTTTTTTCAAAAAATGTTATACTTTTTGTAGTTCATCGATATTTTTAGGTAAAAGTACACACCTAATGGATCCCGTCTTTGACCTATACCATTTCCCAAATTTCCATAGCCCACTGCACAAAAATACCCGTCCGCTCAACGCTGGCATGAGTTTCATGCCAAATGGCTTGCAATTCACGCTTCACAAAACCCCAATGTCCCGTTAGATGACCAGGCTTCTGGAGCTCCTTCACTGGCGGATAATAGTAATGTTAAACCGCATGCTAATACCGCCAGAGATGAACCCTGCACCCGCGTTCCGAGTGAATCATCACCGTCACACTTGAATAGTAGTGCATTGGAGCTCGCTGATGTCTCCTCAGAGCTCGCTGCACCGGACACTTCCGATCCCAATCTGGCACAACCTGTATCGAACGAAGCGGCACCAATCACTTCGAACGGATCGGTTCCCAAGTCAGCAGATGATACAACAGATTGACGCAGTTTGTTCTTGTACAGGGGGCTGTCGCCTCGAGTTTCACTTGCCACGTCCAGCAGTCCAGTGTATATTTCAGCTGTCATTCTTTGGGTGCTCAAACAATTCTTTTTGTCTTGTTACGCATCTTTCTATCTGGCCCGATTCAGTCAGACTCATTTCAATCCTGTCTTACATCTTTACTCATATTGTCCGACTTCATCTACCTTGCGTTTGCTGCTGTCTGTTAGCCGATTTGTCAGCTTGTTCCTGTCAATGCACGCGTGCGCCCTCCCCAACCGTCTGTGTAACGCTCTGTTTCTATCGCCTTACTGAACATTTATTCTTAGTCACCGATCGCGAGCATTCATTCATACTTTTTGTACACTATATTCCACATTGTAAGTGCGTTGTGATCAGAAATGTGGCCAGTCGATTCGTCTGTTCATAATTTTCTAAAATTACGAAATCGACACCCCTCAAATGCCCGATTGCAACCAGATGTCCGTGCATGTTTGCAGATGCGTGTGACTATTTGACTCACTTCCCGTGGTCTACTCATTTCATCAGTCCCATCGTACGGATCATTATGAACGAGGGGAAAAAGCAAAGAGGACTGGTTACTCGATTCACAGAATAAACCTAATTCACCATTACCCATTATTTGTTTGGGCTCTCCCACTATAGTTATTTTCCATGTAAAGATTAGTAAACCGGTTTCTGTGCGTGTTTTTGACCATTCTCCAGGTTTTCACTCACTTGTTTCTTCATACAATGCATTTCACTACAGAAGTGTGCTTTTTCATCATAATCTTTTCGAAAGTGTTCTTATAAAGCTAGAGCGCTTTCGGTGAACATCAGACTGTCGATCATAATGTGAACTGCAAAATGCTTCTGAAGAGCAGCCAAACGCAGTAATTCAGATTGTAAATGGATTCTCAATTACAGCATCACATTTCACTCAGTTAACTGGCAACTAACTGCTTTTTTGAACAACCTCAATATCAACATGCTTTTGTCCATTTCCATCGAATCGTCGTCCCTGTTGGATAATTGCTATAGTTGATTACTAGTATCCCGTGCTGGTAAATATTTGTTCGCTCAATATACTCGCGGGCATGTGAAAAAATTGTCCACTGTGATGTTAATTGAGTTGTCAGTGTATTCTCCTTGCAGTAGTGCTTCTGACAACGAGCATCCTTCTTCCACTTCTAGAGTATGTCATCAACCTAAGAGGTTTAGTTATGTTTCCTCCTATACTATGAATCTTTGAGCCAGGAATGTTCATATTCAAGGTACTATTAGGGTGCGCTACAGTTAGGGCATAATTGGTTGCGGTCTCTGAGCCGTTGACGGTGCTGATTTCCTTAACTCCAATCAGGGTCTCTTGACAATTTTTATTATTCTAATCCGTTTGATCCATGTACAGATAAGTCTATCCCTCAGGTTACACGGGACGAGGGATAGGGGAGGAAATACAACGCGTCCCTGGTAGCAGTTACTGTGGTAATCTTTAGTGATTGTACTATCGTCATAGTCCAAACCACTATGACCGGCCTTGATACAGACAGTTTGTACAATCATTAGTCACAGTTCTGGATGCTGTATTTTGGTTTCCCAATCGGGTAAAGGAGTAGGAGTGGGATAGAAGAGTCTAAGAGGAAATCAACAATTTTAGTAGGCTAAGGTTTCAAAGAAATTGAGACGATCCACCAGCGCCACCGTTTCTGACGTAGCTGTAGCGCGCAGTCAATCATGCTTTATTTCTATTGATCAGAACGGGTTCAGTTTATCTGCCTCCGGCTTCACCAATCCACCGAATCGCCAGTGTTGGCGAGTGCGACTAGAAATAAACCATAGGTCTACCACAGAAAGAACGTATTCAGATCGGTGGTCATACAAGGAGTAGTTTCGGTTTTTACAACCGCAAACCATGCACTTGAGTGCGCAGGTTAAGGTTACTGTCTCATAAGTGCCCGTTTAAATACAGGAGTAAAAGGAAGATTGGTATGTTGAAATCAGTGTCCGAGTGAAAGCAGATACCTCATCAAGACTAAGGTTCCGAAGTAATTGATAAGCTGCACGAGCATCACTGCGGCACAGCGGTATCAAGAATTGTCTCTAACCACGAATTACAAGGAGACCGAGGTCACCATCTGAGAAGTGTAGTGCAACCCCGGTGATCAAGTGTCCCGATCATGGTTTTCGTACTCTCGTGTCAGCTGTCTGTTAGACCAAACCTTACTTTTGTCCTACCAGTATTAGCTTCGGTGATCATCGCGCACCGTGGCAGTCTATTTGGTGACGTCCCAACCAACGTAATCTATGGGGATTGACTACTTACTCCATTATGTGACCGCGGTTGCATAAGACTGCGTCTAACCCTAGTATTTTTTATACCGTTTGCCCGGCAGACTCGTGCAATGCGACCTAGATAGCGGTGTTCATATACTGACAGCCTTCTTTCAATCTGTTACCTTCTTGCCATGTCTGCACCGTAGGACAGGGTTGACCTTCATGCTGCAGCATATCTTCGGTCCTTCACGGACAACCGGATGTCGCAAGTTGGCAAATGCCGACCGAGCCTTCTGTATTCGGGCCGACAATTCATCCGTGATGCATCCGCCAGGTGAGGTGTAGCTTCCCAAATATCAAAACGCATCCACTTGTTCTGTTATTTCTCCAGTTATAGTGATGCTGACCCAAGCCAGTCGTGCAGCAACATTTTACACTTTGAAGGTGCAAAACGCATACCAAACATGGCTATGCTCACGCACGAGTTATCCAAAAAGCGTGCATTTTACCTGGGTCTTCACTCGGTAGTGAATTGTCATCAGCATGCTCCAGATCAGACGTTCATCCATCTGGGAGCAAATTCTTCCACCTGAACCTGAAACTAAGTTGAGTATAAAAGGTAGTATCAGCTGACAGTAGTTACCCAGTCGATGGGGAGGTAACAGGTCTAACGTAGCTGGGGCTATTTGAAATGAGCCGTGGAATCAAAGTAGAATGTATGCATGTTTCGGAGGAAAGAAAACACGTTTATATTAAATTTTTCGAGGGTTCTAGCTAAGATAGCTTGTTAGTCGGTCTGATAGTATAAGGACACCGAGTGCAGGCAAGTGAAACGGATATTTCTATTTGATCACAGCTTTTGATTGTTTAGTGGCAATAGTCAAAGTTTCGAAAAACAGTAGACATTTCATGTAAATTCGTAGTGACAGAAAGAATTAAACAGAGGAGAAAGATTTTCCAAATGGGTTCCTCAAAATTTACGCCATGATATACTTCGCGGTATCCCATATCGCCGAAGGGGCTCTTCTCCGCAACCCTGACCGGAGACTTCGACCTAAAAATCCCACCCACAAGGCTGCGATTCAATGCGGGAACGTGACCGAAGCACCAGTATGGGAGCTTCAAGAGACCTGTTACGCAAGGCCTTCTTTTTTTGCACCTGTGAGAAGCGATCTTGTGCTGCTCACCGAGTAACGGAGGCACGCAAGACATCACACCACGTCTCGTCGTGATGGAATCAGGAGGTAGAAGATATGTGCAACCCATCGGCGATTTCCTTCTTATTCTTCATTTTTACTTCTTTTTATTGAATCCTTGATGATGCGAATTTTAGGAAGGGGAAAGTGGTCAATCAAAAGGGCTACCATGCAACACGAAATGGAGCTTCAGTTACGACGGACGACATAGTCTGATTACTGCCTGTTCGTTAAAGTACTTCCCCACCGGTCAAGCCAGTTTTCCCTGCTGTGAATAGCTTGTCCAGTTTTGTCGCGAAAATGTGGGCAATCGGGAACAATGTCTTGAACGTTGGGTAGAGTACTTCAACAAACAGTTCAGCTGGTCAGGCGCGAACCAGACCATTTCGTCCGTTGTAGTTGAGGCTCCGTGGATAGTGTTATGTGTACCTCCCACAAAAGCAGGATCACAACCTTGCATACAAGCGTTGAAAAGAAAAGCAATATAATCTTACGGGACTCCTCCCACTTGTTTCAAGATGCAGGCGACGACTATATAGACTCCATTACTTATTCAATGCGTAACATCTTGGAGAGAATCATTCATCATCCCAATTTTCTAGAAAAGCTTTCGCAACGAATGCGCAAAGCACAATGAAATAAGTTTGACCCCAATCGTTACCGAAGCATTAGCCTCGGTCATATTCCGATGTCTAACACCGTTCGATGCAGATGATGATATTTAGGGAGACAAACATCCGTGATTAGTAAGCAAGATTTTGACCAGGTCGCGGTTTTATGGAGCTAAGCCACACACACCGTCGACCAAGGTTGTCGTGTTCGTTGACCTGAAAGGAGCATTTGACTCAGTTGACCGCAAGTCCTTTATGGGTTCGCTCTTTCGCAATTTTATGCCGCTGAAGTATGTGAACCTGTTCATTTAACTCTACTCCTGAACGTCTGGTATCGTAAAGGTCGACGGCGAGCTGAGTAGGTCGTTCGCAGCTAGCAGCATTGTTCGTCAATGGTGCGTTCTTTTGCCACTATCGTTCAAGTTCGGCATAGAAAAAATACTGGAGAACGCATTAGGTCGTCTCCAATCGTTGGTATTGAATGGGCAGCTGGAGAAAAGCTGTGCGACCTAGAGTACGCTGACTATACCGTCCGTCTGTTCGGATGTATGGAGGATGCGCAAAGCGCTCTTGACAAGCTCGCAAATTTTGTTGCTCCGTTCGACATGCGCCTTGCAGCTTCAAAGTCAAAGTGATGCTGTGAGACTGGACGTCGCCGAGTCCCGTTCTGACTATTAGGAATTATCTGAAACTGACTGCTTCCCGTACTTGGCAACGATCAGTGAAGTTCCCTGTACGATGATGATTGGGTAGCTGTTTGACCAAGGACGGAAGCGCATCAAGATAACCACCGGGATTTACAAGGCTCGAGCGGCGTAAGCCGGAATAAAAGTTATCGACGATGCAACGTATTTTTTTAAATTTTACACTTAGGTGCGATGAACAGCAGACGGATCGAACCCCATGGTCACGAGAACCTGCTGTTCCGTGGTGGAAATCAGCAATGTAAGCCCCGGGACGTGGAGTGCCGAACCACATAAAGCCCCGATAGACTACACAGAAGTTGAAAAGTCGCATATACTGCGCCACTGTACGACCTGTTGTGCTTTACGGTTGATACCTCGAAATTTTTGGGTAGAAGACATGCATCGCCTAGTGGTTTCCTACAACCGAGGCTTACGTAGTCTGGAACAGGTGGAATGGAGTGAGAGGGCTAGTAAAATAGCAGGAAGTCGTCGGGTGTTTGGGAATGCATCGAATTCAGCTCCATAGGCTTCGTTGTTTAAGACACGTTTTGCGAATGTCTAATGATANCCAGCACATGATGTGGAAACGAGGCCTGAGGAAATACACAGCGATTAGGTAGCGTAGGGTTGTCTCTTGCTTTGCGGGCTGGGGTCCGTCAGACTCCGTAACCGGTTGGTTCGAGAGGCTGAAGGTCATATCAGTAAAGCGACAGCAGTGGCGCTCTGACTGTCACTTCTTATCAGTCTAGAATGCTTGAAATAGCATGTACTCACAGGTGGACTGTGTACTGCGTGTGTCGACCATGGAGGTTTGCTTTCTTTTCCCGTCCCTAAAGGAAACTT